GATAGTTTATAGAAGTTGGGGAGTGGATAGGGATGAAAAGGATTCAAAAAACTAGCCGTTTGGTAGTTGAAACTGTCGACTTATTCGAATAACTCAAGAACTATTCGAATAGTTTGGATCAATCGCGTGGCTTGAAAAAACCAGTTCCTATTCGAATAAATGGTGATTTATTCGAATAAATCAGGTTGAAAAACCAAAACTTATTCGAATAAGTGGTGGTTTATTTGAATAAATCAGGTTGATTTTAGCAACAGGAAAGATCACGACTTATTCGAATAAACTAAAGATTATTCGAATAGAAAGACAACTTCCCCACACAAAGGCTGATATAAAATGTGTTTTAAAGGTAGGATGATAAGGGAATGAACCTTAGAGATGCCATACTCTTTAACACATAATCTAAGACCTAAAACACTACCCAACTAAGGAAACAACCTCTTCGGTCTCGTTCCTTCCACCGATGCTCAAGTCCCTTCTTCACGGACAGATATAAACTTGTTGTAGCTTTGATTCTTAGCCTTGATGCACAAAATGATGATGATGTTTTGTCACTCTTTTGTCATTATCAAAACCTAAAAGACAATGGGCAAAGGACATTGCAAAAATATATATGCATGATAGCACATTGTCCAACACTCCTCAAGGCAACGATTTTTACGTTCCACCACGCCATTTTGTTGTGGTGTACGTGGAGCGGAGAAGTTATGCTCGATGCCTAGTTCGTCACAAAACTCAGTAAAGAGATCTCGTTCGAACTCTCCACCATGATCGCTCCGTATGGCTACTGTGGTTAAGCCCTTTTCATTTTGAACCTTTTTGAGAAAAGTTTTGAAAACATGAAATGCCTCACTTTTATGAGTTAGAAATAATGTCCATGTGAATCGAGAGTAGTCATCAACAATCACAAAGGCGAAATAGTTTCCCCCAAAACTTTTTGTTCTTGATGGTTTAAAGAGATCCATGTGCAAAAGTTGTAGGGGCCTTGTTGTAGACACCACATTTTTCGATTTAAATGAGGCCCTTACTTGCTTGCCCTTTTGACATGAATCACAAATGGTGTCCTTCTCAAACTTGAGTTTTGGAAGGCCAACTACTAGGTCTTGTGAAACCAATTTATTCAAAAGATTCATGTTGACATGAGCTACTCTACGATGCCATAGCCACATATCGTCCTCCTTAAGTCGGAGGGAGATTCATCTAAGTTAACCATGTAAATGTTATCAATTCTATCACCACGAAGAATCGTCTTATTGTCACTAAGACGTTCTACCGTACATGATTTGGAATCGAAGGTCACACGATTTCCCTTGTCACACAATTGACTTATGCTCAAGAGATTGTGTTTAAGACCCTTAACCAACAAAACATTATCAATAGAGGAGTTTTCTTTTTTACCAACCGAACCAATGCCGATGATCTTGCCTTTGCTATTATCGCCAAAGACAACGTTTTCTCCTTTAGTTGGTTTGATTTGCAAAAACTTGGATGCATCTCCAGTCATGTGCTTGGAGCATCCGCTATCAAGGTACCAAAGTGCACTTGATGCCTTTAAGCACACCTACAAACCAATTTAAAAAGATTTAGGTACCCAATTCCTTTTGGGTCCTTGGGCGTTAGGTGCACGTTGGTAGTGTGATTGGTTTTGAGTGCAATGCCTATGCCTAGTGAAACAAATCGGGGCTATATGTCCTACCCTATTGCAATAATGACAAATAACATTTGGATTATGCATTCTCCTAGGTTGATAATAGTTACTAGGTTTTCTCTATTGCTTGACCCTAGTTTGAGAAAAGTTTTGTTTATGCATATTTGGAAAATGGTTTCTAGATTCTCTAACTTGATCATTGTTTATCCTAGTGTTCTTTCTACGTGGTCTAGTGTTCTTGGTTGATGTAGGTTGTCTATTATTGTTCATTTTAGTTTTCCTAGGTTGAGCCTTAGGTTGTTTAGGTGGTTGCTCAACTTTTTCCTTATTATTGGTTTCATTTTCAAATCCTAAGCCATGTTTAGTAAGTTGCAAATTGTCAAGAACATCATTAAGGTTTTTATGAGAAACACCAAACTTCTTCAAAGTTCCTTCAAGTTTTGCAACTTGATCCTTAAGTGATATACAAGAACTACATTTTGAACTTTCCGGTTTGTCGGTGCTTCTTTTTCCGAAAAACTTATTTTCTTCTTTAAGTCTTTCATTATCTTTTGATAGTTTATCAACTTCCTTCTCCATGGAAGTAAGTTGTTTCTTCAAATCCTTGTTAATTTTAGAAGCGTTGACATATTTAGAAGGAATCTTTAGAAGTGGTACATACCTCTTCCGGTGGTTCCTCGTGTGCCATGAGGCAAAGGTTGGCGCTTTCATTCTCTTCGCCTTCCGATGGCTCATCGCCAGAATCACCTCCCCATGAAATGTAAGCTCGGTGCTTCTTGAACGGTTTCTTCTCCTTCTCGTTTTTGGCATTTGGGCATTTTGGCTTGATGTGCCCAACTTCTCCACACCCACAGCACTTGGGTGGTCCTCCATGCTTTTTGCCCTTTCGTTCATACTCTTTTCGCATGAACTTGTGGAACTTTTTGATGACGAGCCCGAACTCGTTGTCCTCATCGCTTGATTCCTCCATGGCAGGTTCTTGGCTTGAGGTAGCCTTGAGTGCAATCCCCTTCTTCTTTTGTTCACCTAAAGAAGGGAATAGAATGGTGGACTCATAGGTTTTGAGGTTACCTCTAAGTCCGTCAATGGTGACGTTGGTGATGCCGATGGACTCTTGAATGGCATCGGCTTTGGAGCGCCACTCCGGTGTGAGACTTCACAGGATTTTTCTCACAAGCTCCTTGTCCGTGTACGTCTTCTTGAGAGCATGAAGATCATTGACGATTTTGGAGAATCGTTCAAACATCTCATCGATTTTCTCGTTTTCCTTCATACAAAACAATTCATATTCATGGGTTAGAAAATCAATTTTAGCTTCTCGGACTTGATCCGTACCTTCGCAGGTGATTTCTAGTTTGTCCCACATTTCCTTTGCGGTGGTGCAACAAGAAATCTTCCGGTAGTCATTCGGGTTAACGGCACAATAGATGATGTTGATGGCCTTGGCATTGTTTTCCACCTTCTTGATGTCTTGTGCATCATATTCATCCTCGGTCTTGGGGACGTTGGTTTCCTCGACCTTCTTCATTGGCACGTTCTCACCATTTTTGATAATTCTCCAAAGGAGAAAGTTGGTGGATTGGATGTAAATCCTCATCCGCTCCTTCCAATAGGTGTAGTTTGTTCCGTCAAACAATGTAGGCCTCGTGGTGGATTGCCCTTCACCTAAACCTGCGTATGAACTTTGAGTAGAAGCCATTGATCGTTTCTCTAAAACGGTTAAGTCTTTCAGAGAGTATGGCTCTGATACCAATTGTTAGAATAAAGGCCCAACGCTAGACGGGGGGTGAATAGCGTTTAAAACAAAATCGCAGGAAATTAAAAACGAGAGCGTTAAAGTAAAAAGCGTAAGGAAGGAGCACACCGAATTTTATCCTGGTTCACCACAACGTGTGGCTAATCCAGCCCCCCGAGAGACTCTCTCGAGCTACACTAACTCCGTTAAGCTTAAGGGTGCTTAACAAACCGATACAACTTGAGAACCCGAGTCACACGAGCCTCAACACCTTTGCTCGGAGATACCGCACTCCAAGACTTCTCACGAAGGAACAAGGAACTTCCTTCGATTTTACAACAAGGGAACAAACTCCCTTAATGTGTATGAAAACACTTAAACACTCAGGAATAAAACTCTCACAAAGAGTAGATATGAGTGAACTAGTAAACGCTCAAAACACGACAATTTCTTCAAGAATTGGCTCTCAAATAGCTAAGAAAATTAGGAATGATAATGAAATGAAAGAGTATTGAAATGTTGAAGAATTGTGTGTAAAATGAGAGGATTTGGGTGCCATTTTATAGCCCAAAATGGGATAAACTCGTTGCTAGAGTTTCCAAGAGGATGAAGACAAATTTTTCAGGGACACAGGCTGATAGTCGATTATCCAAGCTTGATAATCGATTATCAAAAGATTCCTTGTCCAAAAATTTAAAATTCTATCCGTTGGAGGACAACGGTAACCCATATAATCGATTGTCAATAAGTGATAATCGATTATTGGTCCTCTCAGAAGAATCTGGGTTTTGGTTGCAAAGACTGATAATCGATTATTGCATAAGTGATAATCGATTATTGCGTGCTTCAGAACTTTGGAAGTTCAAAGCTGCAGGGGCTGATAGTCGATTGTCACTAAGGTGATAATCGATTATCACCCAGCTAAAGTCTAGCCAGCTGAAACCCGTTTTGAAAAACTGAGGTCCAAAAACGAAGTGTTCCCAAAAGTAAATACCAGGTTTGAAAAATATTGTATATGGTATAAAATAGTGAAAACAAGACTTGTTTGGTAAAAACCAAGTCTCCAAGGTCGTACATTACGTGCGTACGGTTTTGACCGTTTTTCACGTGTTAGACCGATTGACCAAGATACAAAATGGTTTTTATAAAATAATTATTTGGGAACATTTTAAAAATGCTCAGAGGTAAAAACAGGGTTTAAAATATCAAAAACCACGGAGTTGGTTCGGGCGCCAAAAACTAAACGCCGAAAGCCGAACGCCAACTTAGGTGGTTTCGGAGCAAGGACCAGAGATTTTAACAATAAAAGAAATCATCATAAATGTTTGTTTTGATGCACAAAAATATTTTATGATTTGTAAAAATTGTTTTGACTTTTTTTGAGAACCGAGACTTGAATTTGTTGTCGGTTTTGATCACAAAAGACCGACTCGACTAAGTCTTCAATTCTTGATCTTGTCCTTGAGTCTTTTTGGTCTTGTTCCAAGCCATTCTTCACGCCTTGAGTTATTCAACGAAACTCTTTATATCCACGGCGGTTTGGCAATTATCAAAACCTGTCAGAAATGAACACGACTTTAGTTTATCGTACAAAGTGTGTTCCAACACTTATTTTTTTGCTTATTAATTATTTTTAATATAATCAAATGATATCAGAAACAGTTTTAGTTATAATTGCAATTAGATTAGATCAAAAAATTAGATCAAATCAGGTGAAAGGAAAGTACCCTAAGTGCCCAACTTTCTCCATTTTATCCTTATTCACCGATGTAGAACTCAAACCTATACTTCATCCTTTTTCATTTTTTTTTAAAAAAATTAATGTTATGACATTCTATTTACTATTTTAATTTAAATAAATATTTTAAATTAAAAAATAGTACTTAATTTTTTTTAAAAATGCAAACTTAAATCACAAGCTAAATAAAGTGTGTTAAGAAAGCAAAATAAAATATTATGTTAAATAATGTTGATGCATAAAAAGTTAAAATTAAAAAGGTACAATAAAATATTTAAAATGGTGATAAAGATTACATGCCCCCAAAGTTATCGCCCCGTAATTTTGTCTTTCATTTACCTCTACACCGCTCAATCCATCGGTGGAAGGTTCTCAATATCCTTTTACATGATTCTAAGTTCCTCAACTCCATATTTTGGCCTCAATCTCGAGCCTCCATTTCTCCGCGGTTGCAGCTTTCAAGGCGACATGTTGCTTAAGTGTAACGCCCTGAAAAATCATCTTAGTAGTTAGCCGTTAGTTTGAGAAAAAATAAATATATTTTTTATTCTATTTTCTGACTCAAAAATATGAACTATTTTTTAAAAAAACTTTTTTATTCAAAATTTGGGTCGTTGGATAGATCTCGTAAAAAGGTGACCAAGGATAGATATTAAGTTTAGATTTAGGTGTAAAAAGTTATGACCAAAATAGATATTACAGTTCATTAAATAAATATAAAAATTTTATAATAAAATAATAATAACAATAATAATTAGCAAATACAGTACTACTTCTAAATTCTATTCCTACACCATATATATATATATATATATAGACACACACACACACACACATATATGGGCCGGTTCACGTGAAAATGCACCTTGGTGAAAGAAATAAGAATAAAAGCTAGCCTTTGGATTTGATGCATTGTGCGGCCCAGATTGCATCCTGCGCTCAAATTATGAGATAGTGCATTTTCAAAGTATTTTGGTGCATTTTGACATGATGCATTTTCAAACCATTTTGGTCCACCTAATTTTGATGCAATCCTGACCCTTAGATCTCACAATCTAAAGCACTAGATTCATTCTTATTTCTTTCATAAAATCACATTCTCACCAGAACATACACACACACACACACACGTATATATATACACGGTGGGGTTTTAGTGACACCGGAGTATGGTGACACTCCGGTTCCACTGTCAATTTGGGGCACTTCGGTGCTCCGTTCGTAAAATTGACGGTTCTTACCCCCTAACACACCCCCTAAACCCCCCACCCTACCCGCATCCATGCACCCCCATCCCAACCCCGCCATAAGCCCCAACAAAATGTGTGGCTATATATATGCACCTCTATCGGGAAAATATGGGCGACAAGGTGGTGAACCTGTCTTCATCAGTTGATCGTTCAAGCCCTCGATTAAGCTTGATAAGTAGTGGTAGTTTTGAGAGAGTCTCTCGGGGAACTGGACTAGTCACAAGGTGGTGAACCTGTATTCATCGGTTGATCTTTTACTTCTCTTATTTATTTCTCCTGCAGGCTCATTTATTTACACACACAGCAAAAATCTGTAAACATTCTCAACAACTCTATTCACCCCCCTCTAAAATTGTGCAGATCAACTTCCCCTCTAGGAATGACTAGAGATCACCTAGAAATAACTATTAGCAGTCTAGGAATTTTAAGGGGAATAGAACACCTAGAAAATTTATTGCACAACTAAGGAAAATGATTAATCCAAATGTTTGTTGTCACTACTGTGGGAGGATAGGACACATAGTGCCGGTTTGTTTTACTAAACATTGCCATCTAACACAAAATAGGAATTATTATTATGTTCCTATCAATCAAGGACCCAAAAGTGGTTGGGTACCTAATTTCAGGGCCACCCAATAGGGGGACAAGGTGTCCGTCTGGGTCGGGCCCAAAAATATTAGGGGCACAATTTTTTTAAGTAATATATATATATATGTGTGTGTGTGTGTGTGTGTGTGTGTGTGTGTGTGTGTACATAAGCCCAGCTGTCCAGGCCCAGTCCACCCATGACCCATCCAACCGACCCAAGTTATTACCCCTCAAGGCTCAATTCCTCCGCTTGTAGCAAAAATCGAATAGAAGAAAAGCTTCCGACAGAACACTCAGAAATCGGACCAGAAGAAAGAAGGGAGCCGAGTCGCCGCCGGCCACCTCCACCGCCAGACGCCGAGTCGCCGACCTGCATGGCTCCACCCTCCAGGTAATTAGTTATAGATTTCCACTTTCATTGTTTCATTTTTTTATATTTAAAATCTAGGGTTAATTATTAGTTTTTTATTTGAAATCTTTTCTAACTTCATTCTTTGAAATAAAAAACGAATGATTATATGTTATTTATTTGATTTTGATCAATTGATTTGAATTTGTTATTTATGATAATGATATATTTATATTAAAAAAACCGAAAATCAAAAAAAAATTAAAAACTGATAAATTGATGAATTGATATGAATTTATGATTTATAAAAAAAATGAAATTGAAAAAGAAAAAAAAATTAAAAAAGAAAAAATGACGAATTGATATTAATTTATGATTTATTTATTTATTTATTTACTTTCTCTCTTCAGTTTTTTATTCTTGATTTTACTTAGTAGAATTTATGAATTTGGATTTTATTTTAGAAATAATTCAATAGCTATGGCTCCTTAACAATTGTCCGGTAGTCAAAAAAGAAAAAAAGAGAAAACGAGATGAAGAAATGAGAAAGTCTCAAGCCGGAGCTCTATATAAGTTTAAATGCTGAAGACGAAGAAGTAGAAGTAAAAGAGATAGAAGAGCAAGGGTATCTACAAATAGAGCAAGAACATGTTGAAGAGGAAAATTTTAGGACCTTTTAAGATAATACTTTTTGGGCCTTTTTTCTGTTTCGGCCCAGGCTGATGAATCCTCAAGACCGGCCCTGCCTAATTTTCATTTTTAGATGCACCATGGAAGGTGTGCTTGAAGATTACAACTGTGTAGTGGATGCTCCAAGAACTTCACAAAAGAGATTGCATCGGAGGAAGTGATTCAATGTTTTTATTGTTACCATTTTTACTTCTAGAATATGCATGAATTAATGTGAATTAATTGTTATATATTTTTTAGGAAGATATATAAGTTGATTTGCATATAGTAAGGGGGAGTTATTTTTTGTATGCTATATGTGTTGATTCTTTTTGTATGAACTATTTTAGGGGGAAGATAAACATTTAGGGGGAAG